CAAAAGTGCAGACAGCTAAGTATCATGTGGTCCTGCTGTGAGGTGTAAGGCTAGCCAGATGACTTCCTGTTGCTTCATTCTCACTCAGAACTCTGCTGGTTCCACTTCTCTTCGCAGAAGAGCGTCGGGTTCGAGCACAGCTTCTAATAAATGCACACACAGAGGCACAAGTCAAATTAGGCTGTTCACGTATCGTCTGAAACTACCAGCTGTCTTAATAAAGTCAAGATAGCTGATAAGTGTGCGCTGATTAAAGTAATTCATTAATGTTTACTGTCCTTGACATGAGTGAGTTTTGATGCGAGACACTAAGGGCAAAAACACTGCTTTTTTTGTTTTGTTTCGTTCATGCATCTGTCAATTTTGGGCTTTCTGGCTTTTCACTAAGTATTTTTTCAGACTAGTGGAAAGAATACACTTTTAAGTGTTTCTGTTGTGGCACTTCATCTATCTGTGTCTGTAGATTTCATCTACAATACATATTTTTAAAGGCCGCTTTCCAAAATCCTGCACTTACACTAAACTAAACATTTTTATTCCTATCTATATTCTGAAGGGGTTTAAAGAGGGGTTTGTTCATATATAACCTGCCTGATTTTATACAACATTTTATTAAATAGAATTGGTGAAAATTTATTTGTTTCTGTCTGTTGACAGTATATTCTGATTTATGGAGGGACAAAAGAGAAATCTAAAATCACCTCGGGAAAAAGCTTTTAACATGTTAAACATGTAACACCTGGCTTCATCCAGTGATTTTTGTTCTAGAATCACACTTTTAATTAGACAACACCTCATTTGCACACTTAAACATAACATTTCAATCAACCTTTAAACAAATTCCAATGCTTGCGATTCTTAATGTAATCAATCAGCGGAGGTTATAATCTATTATATCTATTAGTTTTTGAGATCCAACATGAACTACGACCCATTTCAGTGGATTCAAACTATGATTCATCTGGAGATTCATCTGGAAACGGGACATTTGAGTAAGGGACAAACAATCTGTTCTGATGCTAAAGCCAAACGTTCACAAGGGACTTTAAGCAAATCCGAAGCTGAATTGTGAAGCTCCTGAAGGATTTCGACTTGCACAACATCTAAGGACATGAACTTTCTCCCAATTACTTTTAATAGGAATGAGTTAACGGTGGACGGCTCTGCTGGGGGTTTTGTGGAGCTTCCTAAACGGATAAGGAAGGAACGTGCTCTGTGTCAAGGCCTTCGCAATGCGCTGCGGCTACAGATCCCGTGAAATGAGAGCAAGGGTCTTCCCTGTTCCTCGATGTGGACTGGAAAGGGGGCAGAGGTTTAGTTTTGGTCACATCATGACTAAAAACATGCACCGACGACGCTACAGTGAGAGCTTTGGGAAGCGACCCGGAGCTCGTTCCCAAAAACCTCACGAGCTGAATGTTTAGTGTCTCGCTGACATCGAACCTTCAGCATGAATTACAGTCTTTGACACGGCCAAATCGCAGGGGCTTCTGGACTTCACCCTAAGTGCTCCGTTTCATATCACACGCTTGTTTATGGACACTGTAACATTGCATCATAGTTGTAATTAAACGCCATAAGAGCAGGAGATAAGAATGCATACTCACATTCATGACACACGAGCAGAACGGGTTTCTGTGTGAAGCGTTGACAAAACCACAAAACCAAAATTCACTTCAGTCCAAAAATGCAAAGTACACACGATTCACACAGCAATTCATTCTGCTTTCATTTGATTGATGCAGTTGTAGTTTTGCAGGCAATCTATACAAATACGTCTCCATTGGTTTAAGTAGTTTAAGCTAAGGAAGGAAAAACAAATAAATGACAGACTTAATGTACAGATGAGTTAATATGACTTATTAATGACAGTGTTCTGAATTTCATCTCATTTTCCATACCTCCGATATATGAGTATTGAAATCTTGTTTGCAAGATGCACATTTTCTAGGCTGGATTAAGCATATGATGCTTAAATGATAAAAAGCAGGTAACACTTTATTTTGATGCTCCACAACAGACATTCGACTGACTATAAGTAACTTTGCAAGTACCAACCCTAACCCTACATGTAGTGCTAAAGTTACTAATAGTTGGCAGAATGTCAAAAATGGACTATCAAAATAATTGTAACCAAAAAGCATTGATAACATACATCAGTAAAAACTGACACTTTTCTTCACAAACCAACACTGGAGCTCAAGCACATACACGCACTCACACACACACACACACACACACACACACACTCTCACACACTCACACACACACACACACACACACACACACACACTCACCGTATACAGCCCACGGATGTATATGCCTCCACGCATGCAGTGGTGCCATAACTGGTTCTTGGAACTGAAGTTCCAGCTCACTGAAACACAAAGTGAAGGAGGTGTCTTTGGATAAGGTGCGGCTTATGGCCTCTAATGAAGTCAGTGCTTCTGTATAATCCTGCACTCTGTGTGCGAACACGTGCAAGATAACGCACTAAAGCATATCTGGGCCATTTCAAAAGAGACGCAATCCATCATCTTTACGCTGAAACCAAAAAACCACTCCTGTAAATGTACACACACACACACACACAATGTACTGAGCTCAGACTGAAAAAGCTGTACCGTATAGACGGTTCTTACTGAGCGTTCAGGTCTCAGTATTTTTAAGTGCACCAAAACTAAATGAGCAAAGTGCAAGAATGTGTCAGCTGCAAGTGCAGCTCAAAGTGACAAGCAGTTTTACATTAAAAATCAATGTAAAGAGGGTTTCTGCTGTGATTTCCACACCGTACGTTTATGACAACAGGGTAAAGTCCACCACGGTGCACTTCAGTTATACAACAGGCCTCAAACGGCTAGATTTGTTTCACTCTATACTGTACGTTCCCTGAGCTTTTACACATGCTAACGATTGAAACCACATTGAAAATACAGGATTCAAAATCTAATTCAACCAAAGAAAAAAAAAAAATGTAAAAACATAGAAAAAAATATATTTTTGATTTCTAGGTGACTAATCAAATTTTCTTGCTTCCACTGAAGCACAAGATGTTGTTTTTAAACCATGCTGGAGAACAAGAATTCATGTTCATATTTCAAATCATAATACATAATTCTGATGATACAGTTTGTAATGGAAAATTCATGTTAAACTAGAAAACACAAACATTTTAACTAGCCTCAGACTTTTGGACTCCACTGTACATGTAAACATACAAAGACAAACACACACATAAACAACATACTGTACACCGCACAATAAAACACACAATAATTACGGGCAGAACTCTGAGTCCAAGTGAAACATTATCAATTTCGATTTTCAGTTTCTGTTTTTTTTCTTCTTGCCCTCCCACTTTTACGATTATTTACGATGCATAAGCACGGTCTGAGCCGAATGACAAAGCTGACCTCAGATTTACTGGTAAAGCATAATGTGATATTTACTGACCTCTCTTTCATATTAATTTCGCAATTTGTGTAACGCATCACAAATGTCATAAGGTTCTTTTAATTTCCCTAAATAACAGCAGGCCAGACGTTGTGCGTTAGTCGCTATTTGTGACTGTCACAAGAATCTGACTTTAGTTCTTGAATTAAAGAGTGCTTACGTTGGCAACGTTTTATTTAAATTTTTTTTATAGATATGCTACTGTAGTTCATGTATCAGAACATGATGCAACTTCTGCTAATAGATGTCAGCCGTCATTATGTTGTAGAGTGATAACACACTGTCATACTCTATAATGTGCATTTTGTTAGATAATGTTTTAGTTAAAATTCATATTGTGCAATATAAAAAATCAAAACAATAAAAAAAAAAACAGTTTTACATCTATAACAATAACCAAATGTCCAAAATGATTGTGTTTCTGTTTTTAGAATGCTGAAACATTCATATAGTAATGACAGTAAATGACTTCATCTGACTCATATGATAGTGATATGATATTATTACACACACAGAGCTATAGTTTAAAGATCAGTTCTAAAGCAGCTTTACAGAGAAGAGTGCTTCACAAAACCCCAGCGAGCACACGCGGCGATGCACAGCTAACAACACTAAGGTTTCATATATTTACATATGTGGATCTCCATAATGATGCTTTCCATTTCAGAGAAGCATTTTTGTAAATTTGACACAGAAACATTTACTCAGTCAAGACTCCATAAGACAAAATCTTCAACAAAACACAACTTCTGCAAAGTTGCAAAATCTGAATCTCAGCTTAAATACAGTTCGTGCTGTGTTTACTGAATAATCAAATCTCTGTAGAGGTCTCTTTATAATAAAGTTAAAAATAAAGAAAATGTTGCACTAAGCAGCATACAGTGGCCGCAGAAATTATTTAGACAGATAGTCTATCTGGACATTACAACAAAATATCACATCAAGTATCATCTGTTCTTTAATTCTGAAGGAGTCAGAGCTAATTTCACTTTTCTGTGAATTAGCTGTATTTTGGGGTGTTTTTGACAGATTTTTTTTACAGATGTAGAGGAACACATGAACTATCAATATGTTCCACTAAGAAGAAACAAAAAACACTATCGTTTTATTCATTTAAATATATCAAACATTTTACTATGTTTTTTTAATATGTCGAAAGCAATGACATTCAAACAGTGTAGCCAAAATATCCAGATATTTTTTGAGGCCTGTATAATAATCAATATTTACTGTAAATTATTCACTATAACAGTCAAACGCTTTCCTCTAAATACATAAACCCAGACAGAAACATCAAGCCTGTTAATGAAGATGATTTTTGGTGTAATCTAAAATAGAACGTGTCTTAACTCATTAAGCGCAGCTATGCAAAACACGAAATGTTGCTTACTATTGAAATCTACTAAAACCTATCAAACTGAGCTCAACTATTAAACACACAAACTCAGCAGTTTATTCACAGATTCTCAGAATTCATCTCAAAGAGTTTACCTCATGCAGATTATTAATATAATTTAATATCATAAACTGTTTATATTTACACTCACCCGAAGTAAATGATGGCTTTTTAATATTGAAACGGTGCAGCATATATGTAAGTTAGCAGACACAAAGTAGGCTAAAGGAACTGTTCTCTCTCTTCAGTATTCACCTGCTGCTCACTAGAGGTGGTCTGGAAGTGCACTGACCTGTAGGGGTCTCTTGAAGGTGTTCAGTGACGCGAAAGATAGTTCCTCCTGGTGTGAGAGTCGCAGGAGTTTCCCTGCTGTAGCTCCACAGCTTCAGCTCGCCGTGAGTTATAGATACAGGAGCTCTGTAAGGCGCAGAGATGCGCGGGGCACTGGAGAACTAGTGACGTGTCTCAAAACCTAGCGAGCTGCCTACCTAGACAGCGTTCATTCTGGGGGATTATATGCGCTCTCTCTCTCTCACAGTCTCTCTCACACACACACACACACACACACACACTGCATACAGATTAGATGCGTAAAATTCTATTTTAAAACATAATGTAGATTAAGTATTTCTACACGATTGTAAAAATCTGTTCTAAATGTGACTAACGATTCAACATCGTCTGTAAGATTGCGTAAAGAGCTACCTATGATGGCCAATAAAAATAAAAAAAAAGAATCCGCATAATGCAAAAAATGACTCAGATTCGAAATTATACTTTGAAGTTTTCACTAAATATTCCAAAAGATTTTTTGAAAATGCCTAAAATTCCGACAGCGTCTAGTTAGACCGCTCTGTGTGGTTTGAGACACTTCCACTCTGTTTCTCCTCCCATCAGGAACACCTTTGGAACACATGGAGCAATGCGGAAGAGCCAAAGAAGCCTGTGCCAAATTAACTGCATTACGCCAAGTTTACGTGCACTACCGATTTTAGGCTACTCCACCTGTTGTCATTGCCAGCACCCGGTGAGATCACGAAACATGCTTCAAGCGCTAAAACTGGTGATTTAGCCATTTAGCATTTTATCGATACTGGGAAATTCGTACAGCTAGATGTAAAATAATAATAAATAATACCTTGTAAACGTTTCGTTTGAAGTACATGAGGAAGTAAGGCAGACAGTGAATCTAAATCGTATTTGTTTGTAATTGAGATTACATCAGGTCGTGCCAAAGTCTCTTCGGTGGGCAGATTCTCTCACGTTCCCTCTGTCTATCATAGAACCTTTCTGCCTCTGCTGCACTTTGAAATCCACTGTAATAGCTATAGCAATAACTTACAGAACATTGTTTCATTGTTTCACATGATCAGACAATGTGTGATAAAGATGTGGAAAGAGGTTTGACGTAATGAGAGATTCTAACATCATCAATCATATGACTGGACAAAACCATTGAGAGAAAAAAAGGCGGTAGGCTGTTCTGACAGAGCTGTGTGCACATATTAGAGTCATTAGCGGATTATAATTACGTACTGATACCATGCATGCATCCCATTTAAAATATTATTGAACGTTGAATTATAGTTTTGAAGACATTTGCATTTTCCCTTTATGTTTTTATGGGAATGTAGATTTATCATCAGACCTGTGTAGCTCTTGATTTTGATGTCAAATGAGTGCTAATGACTGTTAACCAAGGCAGTTCAGGGTGCACATTCCCCCCCCCCACTCATATTTTGTATAATGGTGTTAGTTTGGTTTTCTGGATGGGCTATGATGGCATAGGCTGACCATTAACAATTTAACCATAAACAGTTAGCAAAAGCATAAGTCATCTACTGCCACCTTCTGGCAAATCATATTATGAATAACTCACTTTTACCATCTCTCAGATGAGATTAAAGCTTTATTTGTCACAAAGTACATGAAAAATACATCATGACTTTTCCCCCCAAAGCATAATAACCTTTTGAAAACCAAATGGCTAGGGCATTGTTGTTTACACTTACTGATTGGGTCCATTGGTTCTTAAAATGTGAAGAAACAAACAAATACTGCAAAAAGGTTACAAATACATGCACAACAGTAAGTGTGGCCACTTGATGCTTCAGCTGAATGTACATATAATGGGCAAACGGAGCACAGAGCACGCCGGTATGTCAGTGGAATGATGCGCCACGTGTTTATTGACACTTGTACAGAGAAAACAATTATCACCGGGTCATGCAAAGCAATAATACTGTGCACAACGAAAACACAACATGAACAGTGTGACGCCGGAATAAACATGTATTCAAATTAAACTCCTGAGATGTTAAACATACAGTACAATACAATATGCAGAGATACTTTAAACATGGCACTCATGAATATCTTGACAGGTTGATAAGTGCTGGATGCAAGCTATGTCGCTAAAACACCAGGCGTTCCACTGAAATCCCACCACTGCACTGAAACCGACCAGTCCAAGCATTGATTACTGTAGGAAACTTGAAGAGGAAAGTGCTTTTATAAAGATTCCGAGGTATTGTTGAACTAATGTCTCACTGGCTAATGCTTACAACACATCAAATAGTTACACGCACACACACACACACACACACACACTACAGGGGATAAACAAGGGAAACTAGTCACAGATATTTGTCTCCGGGTAAAGAAAACACACTACCATGATACAGCTACAACATCGAGGGGCTATAGACGAATTCAGCATACTCCAGCCTCCTGCATCTGATTGCTTAAGAGTCATTCCCTCCTCATATAAATCCCAGTGTTTCGGAGCAGAGCGACTCAAAAAACGTAAACACCAACATCTCGCGAAAACAATCACTGTACATCACTCTAACCTTCACTCGGATAATTACAGCAGAGTTGGGAGGAGGGGTTAAATGTACACAGCTACATGGAATTAACCTCAGACCAGGATGCATATCTGTCACTCGAGTGCCTGGCCACCTTTCGGTTGCGGGGTTTTGTCATTAGTCAGAGAACAGGCTTGCAAAAGACTTTCGCAAGTTTCGAATGGTCTCCGCCTTAGCTTCATCCTCGTTGCTGGAGCGGAAAGTCTCGCCAAAGGCGTTGAAGGCGTTGGTCAAGGACTGGGATTTGCTGCAAAACAGTGGGAAAAGCAAAAGGCAAATTTAGATCGTCTGTGAAGTTATGCCTTTGTTTGGGTAGTCGTGCAATGAACACGAGAGTAAGGTGTTGAAGGCAGAGGAACTCAGTCCCAATCATGGAGATGTACCTTCCTGCAGAGTTTGCAGCTCTGAACCAGGCCAATCACAGGATTTGATTTCAATGGAAAAGCACAAGCAGGTTTGGTGGAGCAGAGCTGATCCCTGCAGGAAGGTAGGACTGCGTTCCAGCTCACATACTGTCTGTCCTATACAGTATACTATGCTACGTTAGGATTAGCGGGTCCCAAAACATACCCTGCTGGAAAAAAAAACAGCATATGCTGTTTAGGTATGTTTTGAAGCATGATAGGTTGTTTGAGCTGGTTTATGCTGGTCATGTGCTGGTCCTAAGCTGGTCCTAAGCAACTAGCTCCTGCTCAGGACTACCTCATAACCAGCTCAGGGCCAGCTGAGAACCAATCAAGGACCAGCTCAAACCAGCTGCCATGCTTCAAAACATATGCTGTTTTTTTCAACAGGGTAGTACACTGAAAATAGCATGTCAAAGGTTTTGATATGCAAGAGAACTGATTTGCACTGTTTCTTCGACAGCGTACAGTGTGCATGATGCAAATTTCGCCATCAGAATAGTATGCGTGTACTGTACGCGTACCACTAGAATTTTTATAACCGTGCGTACTTTGTACGTGCAGGTTGCACATGCGCATAGAATTTGTTTTGCAGTAATCAGTTGTTCCACAAGGTGGCAACACTGGCCCAGGCTGTTGTTTCACCGTAGAGAACGAATTTAAAGAGACAGAATAACAACAACAAAATAGCGGAGACTACAACAACAACAGACGGCTGCATTTACAAGCACTTGTGAGCAAGAGGTTATGGGATAACCCAGCTTTGGTTTAAAACAGTTCAAAAATATTTGTTATCAGTTATAAATTATGGGGAAAATAGAGCAGACACTGCACATGGATGACGCTTTTAAGAGCGCATGTGTCGACCGCCCGCGTTCACGCACAACATCAAATGGAGTATAATTTGAAAGGCTACGCGTTCGACTGTACGCATATGCATACAAAAACTAAGTACACTTTGGGCTTTAGGCATACTGGCTACTTTATATGTCAAAGTTAATGTTTACCACCACTAGCATATAGTATGTATTTTGTATAGCATGCATGTATGGGATTTACCCCACTTCTCCAGGAGAAGCACCCTAATGCAGGGCAGTGGTGTCCTGTCCTGCTCTTAGAGGGCCAATGTCCTGCAGAGTTTAGCTCCAGTCAGCTCTTGCGTGGAAGGTTCTAGCGAGTCTGAATACACTGATTAGTTGGTTCAGGTGTTTTCAATTAGGGTTGGGGCTAAACTCTGCAGGACAGTGGCCCTTAGAACGGTTTCTTGCTCAAATGGACACGCCTTGCAGCAAATGATCTCCAAGTGAAAAGATGCTTACTTCAACAGAGGATGGGTTGACTTCTGCTGGGGTGCAGGCTGTTCCTCCACAGGAGGCTGAGATTGAGTGGGTTTTGCTGGGGTAGGTTGGGCCGGGGCTGGGGTGGGAGCAGGGGAAGCAGTTGCTCTAACAGGGGCTTCAGATGGAGCATTAGTCTGTGCTCGGGCTTCAGGTTTGACTTGCTCTCTGAGCACTGGTTTAGGCTGGAGCTGCGGTTTAGCTGGTGACGGGGGTTTAACAGGACCTTTGGCTGGGGATTGCTCTTGAGCAGGGACTGGATCTGGCTGGGTTTGCCCAAGATTCTGATCTGTGTTGCCCAGTTGAGCTTTCGGTTGGGCCTTGGTGGGAGGTGGGGTCTGGGGTTTGGGTTGGATCTGAGGCTTGGAGTTCCTCCGAACTGGAGGCACAGGCTTTGGGGGAAGGGGTTTGGGAGGTTGGGGTTTTGGGGGAAGTTCCGTTGGCTTCCCTGGAGTGGGTTCAGGTGCGGTTTGAGCCTGGGCTTTGGGCTGTTGCATGGTGGGTGGTAGAATTGGGGTAGGGCCTGCTTTGGGCACAGGCTCCTGGTCAGGGACTGGCTCAGGTGTAGGCTCTTGACTCTTAGGTTGTGGGTCTTGGGGTTTCACTGCCCCCCCTAGGTTTAGTACAAAAGAGAGTCATCATATTATAACATTTTTACACGTTGAGGCTTGCAAGAAGGTTTTAAATCCAGCACCGGAAACTTTGCATGATTTATGATAAAAAAATTAAGGTGCCCCCAAGACTGGCCAAAGTAACCATACAAAGGGTAATGCCCAAGGTAAGAATAGTCATGTCCACAAAACAAAAGGAAAAGTTTTTACTCTAAACAAGCAGATGGGACAGTTAGCTTGCAGCAGTATCATAGGTGTGGATGTGAAGAGTAATAGCTGCAGGTTCACAGCAACAGATCATGCATACAAAAGAACCAAGACCCAGAGGCTGCATGCGCCTTATTTAAAACAAAGACTGCATATCTTTTAGTGTTCACCCCTGGCCTTAATTGGGATGTTTTGCCTTGCCTTGTTTCAGATATACTTTGTTATACGTTTTATACAAAATCAGTGTTCTTTATAAAGTGCATAACAAACATAAGGGACAGTTGGGATACATGCAGGAGCAGGTAAAATGTGGGAGATTCTTTGTTCTCTTGAGTATGAGAGAGAATTACGTAATGATCTAGTGAGCGAGGTGTGTCTTGTGGTTCTGCTTGTTTGTTTAAAAATACTTGATTATGTTTCTTGCTATCTCACTATAAATGAACATACAGTGGGCTTGACCCTTTAGAAAGTTTACAAAGACACTCAGAAGAATCTCATGCCTTTCATAAAGGGTATTCCATTTGAAATGAGTCTAACAAAAATATAATTCAGTAACACAGAACAGTAAGTCTGGGAAATGGGAGCTTTATTACTTTGGACATGAGGGGGAAAGACTAGATCTATATCAGACAGTAATCACAGGCGAAACCCAAGTACTGGATTTAAAGAGGCAGTGACATCAGCAAAGCCTAATCAACCCAAGTCAATGGGTATAAAGTCAGAGCACACTATGGGACTCTACATCAGCATATAGCGATGGAGATCTGATTCTTCACAAGTATCGTGAGTACACTCATTGTTTTCATTAGGTATACTTTTCACACAAAAAATATTTCAAATTTTTCCACTCTTTGGTAATGCATGCAAATATACCTAAGTAAACATTTCCCATACAATATAAGGACATATTTTAAACTCTGAACATAGATACCTCTCGCGCATTATAGATACCATCTTGCATGTTGATAAAACAGTTAAAAGCATCAATATACAGAACAGGCACTACACTGATAACACCCCAGACATCTCTCTGGTACATATTCAGTCTTGTCCAAGAACACTAAGAATCATGTCTTTACAACTGGAAAAGCTCATTGTTTGTGAAATATTGCATTATTAAACGTCAAGGCCAAACCTGTATCACTATATTAGCTTATTTAATTGAATGTCTTTGCATAAAAAACAGTGACTCCACTGAATGGCTAAAGAGTGGTACCTCTAGCGATACTGTGAAATTGCATTGCATTGCATTCATGACACACAGGTGATGGCTGTGAGAGAAAAAACTCAAATCGGTCTGTAAACAGTCATAAGATTATTTTAAGAGATCTCTTAAAATTTGCTTTCTTATTTGGGTGAATGTCACAAAAACACGTCTAGGTCACATTTCAAGACAAAATCAAAAGATAAAGAAAACATTTAACAAAATGAAAAAATCTCATTACTGTAATTAATCCAGATATTTTACTTTGAGGTTTTTTGGTATTTATTTACTATTACCCGTGTGGTGATTCTAATTGGTGTAATTCTACAAATGTGTTTTGCATTTAAATGGTCAGAAATGAAAGGCAGTACAGAAAATATGCTGTGATATAATTTTACCCCCTTAATCATCATGAAAATAATGCTAAATTGCAATACAAAAAACCTCAATGGTTTTAAAATAGGCTTTATTTTCATTATGCAAAATATAAGTTTATTTACTCTTTTGATTTTGGGGGTGATATATTAACATGACACTTTCTTGACATGTTTCTTGTGATTCACCCATTTTGACAATTTCACTACAGTAGGTTTTGTATTGCTCAGAAGGATATATACCATAAGCTGACAGTCAAGAGGTCATGGGAGGAAGGACTCATCTGCTAAATCTAACGAACCTATTCTGAAACCTTCATTAAACCTGATCCTAAAATTGACTGGCTTAAGTTTGAAATGTAATGACCATTCAGTTTTATGGCTCCTCGTGGTTATCCGTTTACAGTTCATCAGGCTGAAAGAAAATCTTCTTGGTAACCTTGAGAAAACAAATGTTTAAGACAGCTTCAAACAATTCCAAAGAACTACCTTCTGACGCCTCTTTAGAAACCATGCTGCAAGTACTAAAAACACTTTAAAATCTTATTTAAAAAAAAAAGAAGAAAGTTATTGAATACACATGTTGTGTATTCAGCATGTAAACACATGGACTTACAACAGCAAGCTTGCTTGCACATCACTCATGCAAAACCACAAACACTACATTTAAATAAATAAAAACAAAACATCACACATATAGCACGCACACACAAGTGTTACAGCACACACCCAAAAGCAAATCTCAGCTAGACGATTAGGAACTACCCTTACTGAAACAAGTTAAAGTACAAAAGGTCATCAATCTTTCATATTGACCACATGAGACACCACAGCACTGGACTTTGCGTAGGCACAGTTAGAATTATTCTTTAGCTGGCAGCGACAACCCTGGAAACCACACGACTAACAAAGTAAACGAATGCAGCCACCAGAAGCAAACAAGGACAGAAAAGTGAACAGTACAGAAAAACACTTCATAGGGGAGAACGACACAGTCAAGGCAGATTCTGAAGAGCACACGCTCCAAACCACTGCATCTATCACTATCTTAACCTCAACCGGCAGCAGTGAACTGAGCTTTCGATTTATTGTGGGCTGAACCGTGTATCTGGAATTGTGGCAGTGGAAATCATTTTGCCTGGACTTGTTTTGGTCCGACTGCAACTCCGTTACAGTCGAGAATGTACTGTAAACAACCTTGTGGAGGGGGCCGCTGGCCGAGGGTCTTGCTGGGGTCAGTCAGGCTTTCTTTTAAGGCAGCACTCTGTAGACACACACAAACAAACACACTCAAATGGTTTTAAGTCTTAGTGCCATTTCCACTGATTCCACACCAGGGGGCGACACTAGACAGAAAGAGTAACAACAGCCACAGAAACTATTTTTAGGAGAAATTTAAAGTGACAGTTCACCTAAAAAAAAAAAAACAATTCTGTCATTATTTACTCATCCAAACCTGTAGGATTTTCAAAAGAAGATGTCTCAGTGATTCCCCCCCCCCATACATTTAAAGTCATTGATGTCCCATGTTTTGGAACTTTTATTGCACAGACTAAAACAGTTTGGGTGAGTAAATGATGACAGAATTTACATTTTATGTTCAAGTGCAGCCCAAAAGAGCTGTGAATATACTATAAACATACTTTGTTTGTTAAAATACTGCATATATTTTTACATATTTTGTGCAGTTTGCTGTGCATTTGTTATTTAGTTGGTTGCCCCAAACAGTTCTAAATCACTCACAGGTCTTTTGACAGTTCGATAATCTCTATTTAGTTTTTGCAAAATATTAGTTGTTTTTGTTTTTATGTTTCTCATCTTCAGTAAGATTGTTCTTCCTCCCCATATTGCATGAAAACTGTGACTCACTTAAAGCCTGTTTAAAGGCAATTCTGAGAACTGTTTCTAAACATTATAAATCTTAGAAATGTATTGCTGAAACATGCTACAAAGACTGTGAACTATCATTCAAAGTTGGCTGGGTGGTTAATAACACCTTTTTCTGTGGTGTGACAAACTCAGAACACATTTTTAATATTGCTTTACACGGACTTTAATAATGTGGAACAACACACTTTAAGCAGGTTTTTCCTGGCAAACTATTTAGCAAACTTGTCTGAGAGTGATACTAGTAATCTAAAAAGATACGAGACATAAACCAAACAAACACTTTCTTAGAAACACTACGATCTGAATGTTTATTTTGAAGGTGAAGTCCTTCTGGCACGTCTCTTGCAGTGTTGCAGTGCTGTAGCAGTGTAGTGGGATGAGCGTACTTGTGCAGGTTGGACAGTGGTTGGAGGTCTCTGAGGGGATCGAGCTGTTGTGCGGCCCGAGTCTTGGTTCATCTTGGCCAGAACGATGGCAGTGATCAGCTGACGGTCCTCCAGCTGGTGATCTCCAATCAGCTGCATCGACGAGCCCACCACCTACAGCCAAACACACAGCAGCATTAACACAGATATCTATCTATCTGTCTGTCTGTATCTATCTGTCTGTCTGTCCGTCCGTCCGTCCATCCATCCATCCATCCATCCATGTAGTGTGTGATGTGCTGCTCCTGCGCTCAATGAGGATGCATTCATTCACTGTGCTCACATAGAAAACAGTTTCCATAGCAACATACTAAGACTCTTATAATGAAGCAAAACATTTCAACAGCAACAAAAATCTATGCTTTGATCATGATAGTTCATCATCTGACATGAGATTATTTGCCTAAAGGAAGAATGATGTGCGTTTTGGAGACAATGAGATGATTTTGTCATTGTGGCACGCCACAGGGAGAAAACAATCATGACCACATCCTTCCATGATGGAAACTCAAAATATTGTCTTTTTTTACCACATCAAAATAAATTTACTGAAAGCGTTGGAAATGAGGTATTTTTCTGAGAAATGTTATAGTCTTGTGAGATCAAGAAATGTCTCATTATTGTAAACGTCCACTCCCAAAGCGCCAAAAACTGCAGCTTGTGCAACAGTCCTGAGCATCGCTACACCCGTCTCACTGAAACAAGACGGGACAGCAGGAGTTTTCATTCATTAGTGTGCAGTGATTACAGTTTCATCAGTGATGCATTTCATCTGGAAGCCGTACAGTTTCTTTGTGTGTGGAAGAGAGACACATTTACATAATAATAAACGTGGAACACACAACACTATTATACATTTATTTATTTAACACATACTTATTTACATTTCAAATGTGCACCTAACAGAACTTTACATACTAAATTGTCTATTTTGTATATTGTGGAAAAGTCAAAAACAGTTGTGTCAAGAAGCGTCAGGACACAGCTTCAGGGTTCCCACTATTTTCCTCTCTCGAGCAGTCTTTAAAAACATACAGTTTATGGCCATGACTATAAAACTATTAAATCAGCCTCCTAATTATTCATTACAACAAATTGTTAGAACCAATTTCAGTACCATAGCAAAAAAAAGTATTTAATTATTTTTATTTACCTATATGTGACCCTGGAGCACAAAACCAGTCATAAGGGTGAATTTTTTTAAATTGAGAGCTGAATAAATAAGCTCTCCATTGATGTATGGTTTGTTATGATAGGACAATATTTGGAACACACATACTTATTTACATTTCAAATGTGCACCTAACAGAACTTTACATACTAAATTGTCTATTTTGTATATTGTGTTTTTGCTATTTTGTACATTGTCTATTTTGTATATTTGTATATTATTCTTTTTATTATCGGTGTCTTGTCTTGTCACTGTCATTCTGTTGCACTGTGGAGCTTCTGTCACTAAAACAAATCCCTCGTATGTGTAAACACACCTGGCAATAAAGCTCATTCTGATTCTGATTCTGATTAAGTTAATCAGTGATAACTCCTTGTTCACTGAAACACTTTACACTCTACACTTTACACTTTACACTTTACACAGATGATACTCAACTATATATCTCAACAAGACCAGATGAAACTTCTAAATTATCTAAGCTAACAGAATGTGTTAAAAATTTAAAAGATTGGATGACCAATAATTTTCTCCTATTAAACTCGGATAAGACAGAGATATTACTTATTGGACCAAAAGACAGTACACAGAATCTCGTGGATTACAATTTGCAACTAGACGAATGTACGGTTACTTCCTCTACAGTCAAAAATCCGGGTGTTATATTAGATAGCAACTTGACTTTTGAAAATCATATTTCCCATGTCACAAAAACAGCATTCTTCCATCTTAGAAACATTACCAAGTTACGAAACATGTTACCTGTTTCTGATGCACGACGCGTTTCAAAAAGGCGGGGCACAGAGGAGAAACAATAATGTACAGTATGTGGAAAATAATGTGTTTTTTTAACTTTAAACCGCATAAACACATTTCATTACACCAAATACACAAAATAATGTTCTTTTTAGCAGCATCATATGACCTCTTTAAGACTGCTTTTGTGCTGCAGGGTCACATATGAAAAAAAATTTAATCAGTTCATTATTAATGCTAATAATAATATTAAAGAAAAAAATTAAATATTGGCATGTACCCTTCAAATATTTTCAGTATTTCTTTAAAAGGTATTGCAATAAAAAAAAAGCAATTGCTATAAAATGTATTGCGTTTTTTCTTCCAATATTTTGAGCTTCGTGAACATTGAGCTCCTTTGCGTTCATCTTCAGCATTCTTGCCTTTGTTAATGGCCCGTTTACAGACTTTGTAATATTTCCACACAGATGACATTTTGGAAAATGCTTGTAATACAGTTTGTGTGCAAGTCCAGAACAGAGATCGGCTAAAATAAAACAAAGGGACAATCGCCAATCACGCATTTGGAGCAACAACTGGCCAGTTCCGATTTATGGCTGTTCTAATATTTTCTACTACTAACATTAAAGGGCTAGTACACCCAAAAATTCTGTCATTAATTACTCACCCTCATGTCGTTCCAAACCCGTAAGACCTTCATTGATCTTCAGAACACAAATTAAGATATTTTTGATGAAATCTGAGAGCTCTATGACCCTCCATAGACATAAATGCAACTGAAATGTTCCCAAGTCCAGAAACGTAGCAAGGAGATCTGTAAAATAGTCCATGTGACATCAGCAGTTCATCCGTAATTTTACGAAGCTACGAGAATACTTTTTGTGTGCAAAGAAAACAAAAATAACATAATTTATTCAATAATTCTTCTCCCCGAGTTACCGTCTTCCCCCATTTTGGCAGTAATCAGCATTGTTTATGTTCAGGATAAAGCTTGTGCATTCTGAACGTAAACAACGCTGATTATGTTGTTTACGTATGTGATACTCTCCAAAATGGCGGAAGACGGTACCTCGTGGAGAAGAATTGTTGAATAAAGTCATCAGTGATGCCATTGACTCTCATGTGACCGACTGCAACATTTAAGTCATTTTGTTAAAAAGATATGATTGCGACTGTACTTTTATGTGCTTGCTATGTCTTTTCCATTGCTGAGAGGTGGTTTGCTTTACAGGTTTAGGGGTAAAAGGTGGATTCAGGTGCTCAAAAATATCTTTATAATAGTGTAATGTAATTAAAAGTCTTGTGACTATAAACCTATCTGGCTGTTATGTGTTATATTGTTTAAAATGGTTTTGCTTTAAGGCTGGGATGGAGTTCTAAAATGTCATGCCAGTACAACAAAACCTATTTATTTTTAGTTATAACAAAACACACTGTGGTCAAATCATTGTGAGCTGACATCACACCAGTGACGCCTGTCTTATGGGACTGGGTTTACTGGCTGCTTTTGGCAGAATTTGTATGAACTCTTCCACATTTTTTGGCCAAGTTTGTTGTTTGATGCCAAGTGTAAAGCAAATTACCTGCACATGTGTGGATATTAGCAGGAAATGAAAAACTACAGGAGTGTCCTTAGAACATAAACACTTGAGTTCTTCTCTCGCATGAGCAGAAAAAGTGAGCTTCCAAAGAACTATTGCTATGTCTGACTCGCATTCCTAACAATGGATTGGCAAGGATTTATGTGTTTTCTGCAAAACCTCAGAAGGCATGCACCCATTGGTCTGTGTCCTGGCACAATACTCAGTCACTGTGGTCAACGCCTCCTCTCATAACTATAAACTTATTACACATTGTCTGGTGTTGATCTTCAACTATCAGCTCACATGTGATAACATGAGGTCAGGTGGTTTGAATTGGTGCCTGTGTCACTATGCTCTCACCTCAGTGATATAGTCCTTTCCGTCCTTTCCATGTATGGCTTTAACAGCACAGATGTCTAGACCTCCAAAGACATCCGCACAGGTGTCCACCCACAGCTTATACCTGCAGGACAGAAGAGCTTTCACTTTCCCAATTCCTGGTTTCTGATCGCTTCACGTTGAGTTATAAAATGAACTGCCTGTTGAACGCCTACTTCAAAATCCTGATCTACCTCAGTGTTATTCTCACAGAATTGTCAGTTCTGCTCATGTTGCACATGTGATTTGAACTCATCTTTTGGTTATGTTGCTCTGGTCAATATTTATAGAAATTCACTATTTGCAAGAAGAAAATATTTATTTTTCACTAACAAGGTTGTTCAGCTGGTCATATGGCAAACCAGGATGATATTATTGCCTTTATGTATTATTAGATTTGGATCATTTGGCTAAATCAGCATGTGTACTCTGTCTGTGAGTTATTCTCTCAGATCATTTTGATTTATTTATTTAATCAGCAACTAATGTACAATATTTGCACAGTGCATTTGCTTGTATCGTTTGGCAGCATATGTGCAGTTTTCGTTTCCAACGCTACATTGACGTGACTAATAAATTCTGAAGCGATTCTATAGTTTATTCTGTAATAGCCAATCTGGGATGTGTTTCCTGTACAACCCTGTCATAACTTACTATAGTATAATGCATTGGTGGAGAAATTAATTAGCTATTCATGACTGTTTCCCAAAAGCACAGTATTTTTGTAGCACATCCGTCATTGAAACAATGTTGCTTCAACAATATACGGACAAGTGGTGGAGTAATAACCTCTGCACCAATACAGCAAGTTCATCCAAATCTGTCTTACTCACCTGTCAGTCATGGCTACTTGCTCCAGCATGGCAGAGCCAGTGTTTGATTTCCAGTTGCCAGAGATGGATGTTCTCCTGTGAATCACAACACATACTGTATCACATATTCAGCCTGCGCAATGATTTCACAAATCTTTATCAAAGGAATGCTTCACCAGAAAATGATAATTTGCTATTGTATGACATCAGAAGATGCATAGACTGCTATTATGATAAGATGTTATGATTTTTTTGTGATCATTTTCCGCATCCTTTTTGAAGCTTGAAAGCCTCAGTTCCCATTAATTGTCATTTCATGGATCAGGAATGACTTGAGGGTCTACTAGCTTGAGATAGATGGTCTATTACTGTAAGCTGTGTCGGTGCAGCTGTATACTTACATGTACGCTTTGTAGTCAGAACCGATCTTCTGGACCCTGATGTCATATTTAGCATCAATGAAAGGCTCTGTGGTGGTGTAGGTTTGAGTGATGGCCACAACACTCGCAATGTCTTGGAAGTCACTGTGATTGTCAACTTTCACCTGCCAAGGCAATGTTCCATTAATATGTTGTCCTGTTATCAATGGGGCTGAGATTCATTAATGGATATGTTGGGTGAAGTGTGTAATTTCTGTGAAATCAGCAGCTTTGAAAGAAGTATTAAGCACTTACTCTATTGGCTCTTTTAAAGGAAAACAGGAAAACAGTGCCTTGGTTAAGACATTGACTGATAGTTGTGTGGATTATTAGTATGTATATGCACAGAGAACTTCTCACAAAAACATATGCCTAGTTTACAACACATGTGCAGGTACATTAATTTGTTCTTAACACTGTCCTAATGAATTTGGAGTTCATTAAATTATTTCACAATCTAACAGAATTTGGTACACAGAATGTACACACTTGATTTATTTCTGTTCAAAACTGTACACATCAGGGTTATTATTGTTAACTGTGCAACTACATGTCAACTAGAAGTCATTCGTAGACTAGTAGACTGCTAACACTTTATTTTGATGCTCCACAACAGACATTCTACTGACCATGAGTAACTTTGCAAGTAATTCTAATAACCTTAACCTAACAGTCTACTAATACTCTAATGACAGTTAGTTGACATGCATTTACAAATTAATCATGAGTTAGTTGACATGTAGTTGCAAAGTTACTTAGAGTTAACAGAATGTCTAAAGAAGAATGTCTTTAAGACAAACTAATAAAAACATGATTATAAAAATACTATTAAAATGGAAATAAAAAATAAATTAAGCTTAAAAAGTAATTAAAAAAGAGTAAAAGGCAGCACTTTATTTTAAGGTGTCCTTGTTGCACATGTTACATGTACTTACTATTATAATAACAATTAATTATGCATAATTACATGCAAGTAACGCTAAGACAAACCCTAATCCTAACCATATAGTAAGTACATGTAGCTAATTAATATTACTCAGTACTTAAATGTATAATTACACTGTGACAAGAACACTAAAATAAAGTGTAACCCAATTAAATCAAAAGCACATAGTAAAATTACAAAAGAATACTATAAATCAGTAAAAACTAAAATGAAAATACAGAAATGAAATATTAACAAAAACTATAATAGTAAACAACTGAACAAATGAAGTAACACGTGCACATGCACCTTTTGAAGAGCTGTTTTCACAATCAGTCAAACATTTGATCATACCTTCCCCATTCCAGAGTGGGCGTGTCCGATCTTCACCACCACAGGGAATGTTGGCATTGAGATCTGAAACACAGATTCATTGTTTTCACTGTTGACTTTCTTTAATATGCATGATCCATGTTTGCATTGGTTACTGACTTTAAGCAAGGATCCAGGAACTGGATTTAATCCCATTTAATCCCAGATGCAGGCCAATAAAAACTTTTGTTTCAGCATCTGTTAGTCATTTATTATGCTTCAGAAACAGGTGTGTTGCTGACAGTTATCAAATCCGGCTCATCATATGCAGTCTAGCAATCAAGCATGTGCGAACAAGGCGAGTTTTATGTCCTATCCGTAATTCAAAAGGCTTAAAAAACATACTACATGCAGTTTTTTTGAAAATCTAAAAATGCACAAAGTCTCCTGTGATGGGGTAGGTTTAGGTGTAGGGTGATAGAAAATACAGTACAGTATAAAAACCATTGCGTCTATGGAGAGTCGCCGTAAATCATAAAACAAACATGTGTGTGTTTGTAGAGGGTGGGGTTTGTTTAGTTAGAAGGGTGGTCCTTTCCTCAGCCAGACATGAAAGCTATAAGACTGCCACAGCGGCTGCAGAGAGAAGGAGATCCCTACAGACGGACAGAGGAACACAAGAATACACTTTGATATATCTGATAATTTCTCTTGCGTGAGCATGTCTGCTGCTGTGACTCTAGCGCTGCTGTTCTTCTTCTCTGTGGCACTGAAGGAGGTCAAGGGCTGCAGCTGTGCTCCAGGACACCCGCAGCAGCTCTTCTGCATGTCTGACATAGGTACGTCTAACAAACCCCAGTTTATGCTCTTTTATTTTCATAGCTTTGCCAAAGTAAAGTGTCGGGTCGGCCGGAGGTTGTGACAGATCAGTGTAATCTTCCATAATCTATTCCATAATCTTGTCTGTCAACAGTGAGGACTAGCAAGGAACGGCTTGTGAACTGATTTAGGTTCAGGACAGTGTTGTGACACTGCAATGTGTCAAACATATTCAATTTGTAATTAATGCGCAAATAATGATCAGAATCAAGGCCATATTTAGTTGTTGCCTCATTAAGGAAAGAGCAGTTTCCTTATTTTACAATCATCTGGCATACCTGTTAACCTTTTTATAACAGTTCTCGATACTCTGTAATTATGACTGCTGTAAAAAGTCACAGTTCAACGATCTAGTTTCTTTGTCACCTTAGAGAGGCATTTACTTTTTAATTAGCTCCCGTTATGGTTTAAAAAAAAAAAAGTGTAATTTTGTTATTTGAACGTTAATAAAGTCATGATTGAGGTCATTGACTATTGTATTGGCAAGAACTGAATGCGTTCTCCTTGGATTATAACCTCCGTTTGCTGCCAGAAATCCAAGTTCATTCACAGTTAGTCTACAGCTTAAACAGTAGATCTTATTTTACAGGACAGAATATCTAGTCTAAATATCTTTAAACTAAGTTAAGTTTAAGTTTTTTTAAAGTATAGTTTTTCAAACGAAAGTGAAAGTGTTTTTACTTATAAGTGAAAGACGTCTAGTCAAAAGACAAAAACAAAACGTGGATATTCAAGATGTGTTCTCTGAAAACAAGTCTTTTGATTCTCAGGTACATTTATCTAGTTTTAAAAATGTTGAGATATTTTCTGAAAAACAAGACTTTTGCAGCGCACCCGTTTAAATATTCTGCTAAATGTTTCACTCAGAGAACGAACGAGTTGTTTTGAATCCCTGCTTCAGTGCGTCAGAGCTGCTTTGGCATTCCAGTCTTTGTTCTGGAACAATAAGGCATGGAATGACCGGCATGAGGTTATAAAGACATGCAGATTCCTGCAGTTTTCATTGAGCGAATACGGTAAATCCACATAATCCATCAACTAGAAAACAACTATGGCATCAGTGTACCATCCCACTCGCTTATAACCAAAAGATGTTTTAGCTCTTTCACTGTGTAATTCAATGCCAAATTCTTTCATCTTGGCAAACTGATCTCCTAACGCAGCAGAAGATGTTCAAGAGTCAAAGTCAAATAAAGTTGTCTGAGATGACCACTTTCAGCAAATAATTTTGATTTAATTACACTGAAATGTCAAGTGGTGTAAGCAAGTAAAAAGATATAAAATATTTTTCCTTACTTGAACCAATGTGTATTGAAAACGAATTAATTTATTTATTATTTATTATTTATTGCAAAAAAAAAAAACATATGCCCTTGAACAAAAATAACGAATATGAAGAATAACAATAATGAAGAATAACTGAAAAGGACCAAATAAGAAACTGAAGGAGACACAGGTGAACAAAATTAGTAACTATGGCAACGATTCTTGATGGTCCCCTTTGGGTCCTTTTGAAGCTACAGGTCAACTAGCAGTCATTAGAGCAGAGGTCCTCAAGAGATCCACTTTCCAGCAGAGATTAGCTCCAAACTGAATTAAACACACCAAGCCGCAACATTGTGGCAGAGATTGTATTACTATCGGGAGATGAGAGGGTCTGTATTACTTCCTACTGGAGAAAGCATAACGGTCAACTTGGATCATGTGTGCCTTGATAACCAATCACATATAGCCTTGAGGTCACTGAATTTCAGTCAAGGGTTGTGCGACACTCAAACGCCATTTACGTATCCCATAGGAATGAATGAGAAGTGCCGTAAGCTGAATCCCACCTGTTGCAAAAAATCTGTGATTTCTCCTATAAAACGACATTTTTTGGTGTGGACTCAATCCAAAAACGTTCAATCCAAATGTACTGTTTAGTGTAAAGCATGTTGAAGATTAGCAGATAGCAGATAGCATAGTGAAGCCTCTCCTCCATTGACATCCATTAAAAAAAGGGCCTGTGGTCTCCTTCCATGCACGGCAGCGTTAGCTTTAGCCATTACGCTTTTTTGGCTAAAGGTTGCAGGCTTGCCTTCCAGTGGCTTTGCTCTGTAGTAATCCTGAAGACCTTGATTAGCTTGTTCAGGTGTGTTTGATTAGGATTGGAGCTAAACTTTGCATGAAAGTGGACCTCGAGGTCCAGCGTTGGGGTCTCCTGCTTTAGAGTATTAGTAGACTGTCTGCTTAACTGCTAACACTTTATTAACAGATAGTCTACTGACTAAGTGCAGTTACAAAGTCAGAATGTCTAAAGAGGACTATCAAAATATACAGTGTAAGTGAACATACTCAGAACAAAACAGGACCTAAACACATGAAAAGAGAGACCATGAACAACAGATAGAAATACACTGCAAAATGAGAACAAAACACAGGCAAAACATGGCTCAGGGTCCATGGTGGGCTTCTTGATCTGCTTTTTTATCCTGCTCACCCATGGTTAAATAGATCCTAGGATCGAGACAGCCACACCTTAAAATTGTGTCAGCGTCACTTGACAAAACTCATATAGGATGGATTTCAGCGGTTCATTCAGACCAAGCAATCAGGGAATCCTCAGAAAATGTCATACTGATATGGTCCTCGAGAGAGCGTTCATCTTTGGTGATCACAGGCAGATCCATGCCTTTCAAATGGCCCATTTATTTGTCATGGGCTGTTTGTGGGCAGGGAAGAGTTGAGACGAGGATCTACAGTATATATGCATGATATTTTTATTAAGCAAAACACTTAGGAGCACAAGGAACCACTGGAGAATTGCAAACAAGCTCATACATAGAAAAATGGACAACGAGCAACTGAAACTGAAGGCTATAAGTATATCAGTACCAAATAAATAACTAAGTGTGGCCCTGGACCACAAAACCAGTCATAAGGGTACATTTTTTGAAATTTACAAAATATCTTCATGGAACATGATCTTTACTTAATATCCTATTGTTTTTTGGCCTAAAAGAAAAATGGATAATTTTGACCCATACAATGTATTTTTGGCTATTGCTACAAATATACCTGTGCTACTTATGACTGCGTTTGTGCTCCAGGCTCACAAATGAGACACAGGTGAACAAAATCAGTAAATATGAGAATGTACTCAGAAACCTAGAAACCAACAAAACAAGAACCAAACAAAGGAAAAGAAACCCTGAACAGCAGATAGAAATAAACTTCAAAATAATAGTCTCTGAACACAAAACACAGGCAAATCATGACATCCATGGCATGAAAATATAATTCTAAAAAGGCTTAATGACCTTGAGCTACAGTCCTGAGAATCTACTGGACTTCTGCGTGTCACATACCACATGACTTTAACTGAAAATGGGACACAAAGTTTTTTTCTTTTATTAGTAGCATTTCAAAATAATGTTCACATAAAAGATAAGAGTTCACAACCTGTCTTTACAGCTACAGTAAGTATTAGGTACATCAAGCTGGACTTTATTTAGCTCTTTCTTTCACTATGTATTTAGTAATCAAATTGCTAAGGTATGCTGGGGTAGCACCAAGACATTTCTGTCAATAAGAGTTAATAAGAAAATCCTGAAATCATTCATGTAAGACAGTAAGTTACACTCTGAACTCTTGTATGCTTAGCACATAATGTGGTTTTTAAAAATGGAAATTGCTGTCAAATGTTAATGTTCTGACATGGTTATTGACCTTAAGAAATAAGGAGAGTAAGGCCATTAAGCATATACATGATAAAGCCTGTGCATGTTTCTAACAGAAGAAACTGATTTAACTGAAATTATTCCTTTGCTTTCAGTGTCACGCACTAGTAATAACATCTGACTTGTTTCTGATTAGTGATGCAAGCCGAGGTAACTGGGGAGAAGATCATACACAGCGGTGGAATTATACCTGGCATGGGAAAAATTCAATATGAAATCCAAGTGATAGAGGTGAGCTAAAGTACTTGATGATCACATAAATGTTCTGCTGGGAAAATTACTGCTATTTGGCCTTCCATCCAAATAGACTATCACTGAAACGGAGGCAGAGTTACAGTCTCTTGGGGGTTCTTGTCGATTAGCTGGTAGAGTATAGACTGATAAAGGCAGTGTGGGTATCTATATGAAAAGACACTTCAGATCAAAGAAAAAAATGTTCACTGATAAGCATAATACAAAATCTGTTGGTGACTGTTTGCACTAAGTAATAACTCTGCCACCCAGCTGGTCTAGTAGCACATCAATAGTCTGGTCAAAAAAACCAAACCAAACTTTTTTGGCTAGCCATAAACTGTAACCCAAGTGACCCAAGTTCAAATCCGCCTTTTTCCAATCTCATTCTTCTCTCTATGCCCATCCTATATCAGCTCACAGAGGCATTTATTTTAAATTAAATAAAATGTTTTTTTTTTTCCTTTTTGAAAATGGATCAGCAGACCCAAAATGGTTAGGTTTAGAGTAAAGATTAATTATAATATACATCAATACAGTATACAATAAACAGAGGTTCAAATAGCCAAATAAAAATATAATATGGCGACTTTGCAAAAATGGCAAAAATCTTGTTTTTGCAGGTGTTCAAGGGTTTTGACAGAATAAATGAAATTCAGCATGTCTATACGAATGAGATGTCTTCAATGTGTGGGACCAGACTGGGCCATGGACAGTATCTGCTTTCAGGTAAAAGCATTTAGGATGTTTTCACAAACGACCAAATTTTTCTTGGACTTTTGAAAATGACAGTCCATTGTAATAAAGAAAAATCCTCTGAGAACAGAAAATGTCTCTCCTGTAGCCAAGAAGAGCATGTATTACCTCAAGCCACGAGGCCTCAATCATCGTTTCTCCACAGAACAACCACACAAACCCTCCCAATTCACCAGCAAGGGCAAGAGGAATGAAAACTACAAGGAAAACTAGCTATACTGCAGAACGAACATGACAGAATTGGACAATACTTG